GACGTGATCCAAAAGCACGCTCTTAAACGGCGTTCACTTCGTAAAAACAAGATAACTAAAAGCGGTAAACAATCTTAAAATTGCACTATAGGTTTAAATATGTATGAAAACCAGATTTTAGCCATTTATGATAATTTAAGCGACCGTGCTAGAACCACGGGATCCGGGGGTGCCTAATACCTTCCCTCGGGTCAACAGAATTCCTTACACAGAATTTCTGGTTCGCAGACTCCAATTGGGAAGTCGAAATTTTTCCTCGATTTGGGATTAAATTAAACCGGTGACTTGGGACACCAAAAACCCGTCCTATCCCAAGTGGCGACTCTATAAAATAAATAAATAATCCCATTTCGAATAATGTCACTTTAAATGGAAAAATTCCTTTATACATTATCCTTCGGGGTAGGTGTGTAAAAAAGGAGGTGTGACAGTGCACTGTACCAAAAAAGCGTAATTCTATTTTGAGAATAGAGATTCTACTAAGCTGGCTGCCACCAAAAAAGAGGGGCATGCCTTAAATCGAACCACATGGTTAAGTTTCTCATAATGTTACTCAAGACAGGAGAGTCGGGTGAACCAAAATGGGTAGCTCTTTATATTAAATGTTGCACTTGCATTTGAAATGAGCAATGATTCTTGGTCACTTATGTTTCCGCTATTGTGCCAGAATGATATTTTTAGTGTTTAGTATCTTTACTTTATAAAATCAAAGAGGAAATATGATGGGAGTATCTACATTCTTTTTACTCCATGCATTTTATTCTTGATGGACGCATTAATTTTGCGTCCATTACGATGGTCGTCCGCTACTAATATCCAGATAGTTTGTTATTTTCTTAACTTGTAAAATACATTTTAAAATAATAGGGGTATATCAGGGGAGGGATGGGACAAAGAGCTGTAGTGAGAGAGGAATCTCCGTAGTCCTGCTTTCGCGAAACATAAGAATGCTTCCCATCTCTACCTCTTATTATTCACCATTTTTCTTCCATGCCTTTATTTGAAAAGATGTGTAAATGTTTCCTATATATCTTCTTAAGAATGATAGTAGCATCTCAAATTCAATTACTCTTGATTTTCGTTTATGTTACTTTGGATGAGCAGGAGGTTTCGGGAGCTATCTGTTTGGCATGCCGAACAGACAGTTGAAGCTAATAACACAGCTAATATTAAGAACCCCTCTTTGGGATGGATTAGGGGTGGAAAAATGGTTAAAAGAAAACAGTTAACCACCAATATTATCCACTAAAAAATGGGTTGGATAATGAACTTTTTAAAAACGGGCCAAATATGGATAAGAACCATGTTATCCATTTAGAAAATGGATAATCAATGGATAACTAATGGGTCTAACTTTTACATTTGTAAAGCCTCAAATTGGGGGTTCCTCAAGTTAGGGAGACTCAGAATTCTCCCAAAAGTGATCATATGCAAGAAGTCATGGATAATATGGTTAACTATATTATCTGCCGGTTAACCCGTTTTTTATCCGTATTAAATATGAGTCGGGTCGGATAATTGATCCGTTTTTATTGCCCGTTTTCAACCCGAACCATATCCGACCCGATCCGCCCGTTTGCCACTCCTAGGATGGATGATAGGGTTTCTTTTTTGTTGTTAGCTTTCTTGGGCTTTTCTCAATGGTTCCTCTACGTAAGTTATATTCCTATCTTAGGATATTTGGAATGCATATGAATCACAAATTTCCTTGTAAAAGATAAAAGCTGTTCGCAAGATTTAGCATTCTGGAGATATCACTTTTACTTTTTCAGTTATAAGTTATACTTTTGTTTTTTGGTTAAATGACACTACTCTAGGGTGTAATCGACCTTAAGATTTGTTTAAGACAGATATCAACACACTAGAGCTTTGTGTACATAGTACTTGGATGACATGTTGACACTTGATATATCCATTCTTATTCTATTATTTTAAACTCATGTATCTGATAATGCAAAACTTGTTTCAGATTATGATCTTAGACTTCAAACTGACTTATCTAAGTGGGGCACTGCAATTGCTCACCTTATCAACAGTTTCCACATGCCACAAGGATCTAAGCTAGAAAAGTAAGAATATTACCCATTTAGTAAATTTTGTCAGCATTAATACAGATGGTATGATTACAATTTTATCGTTTCTTTATAATCGATCGCTACAGGAAACAAGTAAAAGCTCTAACCTTCAGCTTCCTATGGGGTGTCTTCCAACGATTTTGATGACTGTGGATCTGCGTGTTTCCAACGTTCAGTCTTAAAAGCCTATGAGAACAGGTAGATTCTAATTCCAAATTAGGATTCATTCTTTTTCTCTTTGCTCTTGGACAAGGTAATACTAACATGGTTATGTCACTTACTGGATCAAGTTATAGATTTCTAGATGCAAGAAAGTGGCAGCAAAGGTAGACAATTTTGTGCTTCCAATGATCAAAGTTTTTGAATATTGTTGCAACTAAGTCATCTTATCAATATTCTATTGATGACTTATGCCTCACTTGAAATATAAAATATACATTACTATAGCTAAATTCAAAAATAATGTCCTTCTTGCTCAAAAAATTCTGTAAAACTTATTGATTCTTTAGTTCCTTGTACTTAAAAGAATGACCCATGAGGTTGGGAGCTCCACATGTTATTTAGTAAACCAGAAGTCTCTATTCTTCTCTTACCATCAATCAATTTCTAAAGTTCAGACATGGAAGATTGAAAAGGGAATCAGATTGCCTTGTAGGCTCCATCTCCATTAAAGTATTAGTCAATGCTTTATTGGGCCGATTAGATATGTAGAATACAACATTTAAGGTAAACTCCACTCTATGAATTTATAAGACGAAAGGTTGCCCGGGTCAGAGAGAACCTTTCCAACAATATAGATTTCATATCCAAAATGCTCGGGAGGAACCTTCAATATCTAATCCCACGTGGAATCCGTCCTAAGAATCCATATAATTAATATAAGACCTTTATATTATTAAATACCGACTACATAGATTATATAAAATTGTTTCTATCTCCAAAGCGAATTGAATATCTGACTGACAGAGCTATCCAAAGCAATGTTGCTAAGTTGAAGAATTAAAGAATGGGATGAGAAATATATAGATCCCTATCTCTTAAGATAGGGCAAGGACATGACTGTTGAAGATAAATTAATAAATAAGTTGTGTGTCAAATTCCACACAGATGCTAATTCGATTTACCGCACTAATTGTGGATCATTTATACATGGTTTAGCCATGGCCATATTAAAAAAACCAACCACACATAGTAGCTAATTGAATCCAGATTGCCGGTTCAGTATTCCTTGTTGCTATTGCATATTTAATCTACACAAAAGTAGCAATGCAAGAAAAAATATTGTGAGGCTGACTGCACTGCCGTTAAAAAGTTGGCACATCATTTGTTGGGGATGCGTCGTGTGTAACTATATGGTTTTACCGTACTGGCTTGGTTAATTGTATGTTTACATCCATTCTTTGTTCTTATTGGTGACATTGCTAAAATTATATCGGCGTTTCTGCACAGTGCCACTTATCTTTATTCCTTTTCCTGTAGTAAGCAGCCTACAATCTTGACGTAATGGGAGGACTTCACTCAGATTGTCGGAAGCACCCTAGATACACAGGCTGCTGAATATCCATAATTATAGCAAACGAGTTGCACGAACCAACTATGCTGGTATGCAAAGGATACAACTTTTTTTGATTCGTAGAGAACTGCTATGAATTCTTTACTAACAAAATTTAAACAATATAGGATTATTTTGTCGACAAGGTACAACCCGGTCATACTGATAAATCCACCATATTTCTAAGTTGGAGAACTTATGAACTGGTATGAAATAAATATTAATATAATCGAGTTTTATATTTTATTAATTAGTTCGTGCGAATGAAACATATGAGGAAAAACATACAATTAGCAAGCTATAAGTTAAAGCTCGCATTTTCAGTTAAATAACTATTTGACCATATGTATCTAGAACTTCATACCATAATTTTAACTCATTCTAAATATACATGGTATTTTATTGGTTTCTAAAAGCCCTGTACATATACAATGTTGGAGACAAGGAAGATATAATGGCAAGGTACAGATAGGCAAGTTCTCCGCAAATAGCTTCATCAACTGTACTTGTACCAGTACATGATAACATAGTACCAACTGCAGAGATTCAGCCGTAGTCTCCTGTATGTATTACATACATGCAAATATATGTGAGGTATTTTGGGGTTACAGTTACAACTCAACAAATCTACTTCTATCCCCCTTCACAGATACATCTCTTTCGCATCGGAGGTAAAATGTTGCTGCCGGCTACTGACCAAGAGCTCTATGAACTATTATGTTCCCACTGCGGGCTATAATACAGAATAGCTGTAAGGAGAATTGTTCATTGTGCAAGTTGCAACAGACGTGCGATGTTAATACCCAGGTATCACTATTTGAATTCCAAGCTCTCTAATATCTGTTAATGTAACATCTTCAAATCCAAATGTTTTATTCTTTCATTTACTTTATGCAGATAAAATAACACACAATAACTTGCATATCATGGCCTGCTTTGATGTATAATTGCAGATTTCAGTGGAACAGTTATTGCGACCTTATCAAGCCAATTAGAAGAGAATTTTCTTGAAATTACCTCTGCAAAAATGTATGAAATAATCTGTGTAAAGGTATGTGAGTGAGAATAAGAGACTTTATTAGTCATTTCTGAGAATTCATTGCACTTTAGAAAAACATTCTACCCTTATTGAGATGCCATTGAGATCAAAAGCATGACAGACTATAGTCTTGGTTAAAGAGCTTTCACAACCCATGGTGTCATTGTTTAGGTTTCCTTGGTTTACTGCCAAATGCAAACTTGATTTTGGACCAGAGGTGCACCTTTAAGTTATTACTCAGTAAATATACAAAAGAGCTATTGTACTCGTGTAAAGTCAATGTATAGAAAAATCCAACATACACATTCACAATCAACATGTGCACATGCAAAAGAGAGAAAGAAAGGACTTAATAGCATCAGAAGAAGATAATTGTCACATAGTTTAGTTGACTAAATTCTTTTTATAAATTAGTCAATATATAGTGTTGGTTGCCCTGCAGTTTTTGAGGTGAGAAATCAAATAATTCAAGTCAAGAAAATGCTACTGTTGATAAGATATTTGAAACATGAGATCTTAAAATTTTCAGCTCGGTTTTGCTTTGTATGTTCGTTTTGTATAGTTAGATATTCAAATGAAATACAATAATGCTATATTTTGTTTTTTAATAGAGTAATGCTATATACATACTTTATCAAACTAATTCAATCTCTTAAAAAGCTTGGAAATATTCTGGAAAAACAAACTTAATGTCGCAGACAATATTGCTATCCAAATGGGCAAGTTTAATAAGACACTAATTTTACATCACATATCAAACTTCGTGTACAAGAAAGCGTACATTTTAAGCTTCTAACAAGATCTCTCCAATGAGCCAATCAGGACGATACCTCAAATAACAAATCATCACCTGAAAATCATACATCTCAATTTCACAGATTGGCTGTACGACATACTAGAAATTATCAGGTTCGGCCCGGGCCACTCCTCACTAGTATCAGTATATCACACAGACAATTAAAGAAGGAAGAAGTATTCTGTGGGATGTGTGTCAGATCTCATTTCTTTGGGATAGAAAACGCAGTATTATACTGCATTTTTTCAGTCCGGGCCACTCCTCACTAGTATTAGTATATCACACAGACAATTAAAGAAGGAAGAAGTATTCTGTGGGATGTGTGTCAGATCTCATTTCTTTGGGATAGAAACGCAGTATTATACTGCATTTTTCCACATCCACGTTTTCCCACGGCAGGTATTAAGCACACATGAGGTAAAACGCAGTATTATACTGCGTTTTACTTTAATGGCTAACTTTCCGTTAAAGTAAAACGCAGTACAATACTGCGTTTTAGTTAGAAATGAAACTTTTTTTTAACTGTATAAACATATTTTATGTCCAAAAAGGCATCATTTCAGTTTCGGACTCGCCTAAATACTAGTAGTATATTGTATGAACTTTAGAATATCTTCTCAGCAAACTCATAGATATGATAGTTTAGAATACTTTAGAATCAGATACCATGAGTGTCTGGTGATACTTTTGAACCTCATATATCCATTCCACTAAATTTGATAGAACTCACTGGTTTAATCTGCACTTATCTTTGATTAGGTGGGGGAAGTTTGTCTTAAGTAGTAGTTAGGATAGTTTTTAGTGCTCTGTCATTCCCTCGTACCCCTGAAAAGAGCAAGAGATGGGAGTCTTTGATTTCAAGATTTGGAGATACCTAATTCTTTTTAACTGGTGAATCATCATAGAAAGAGAAGCCATCACTGAAATCTTAAAGGTAAAAGTGTCTCAGTAGGTGCCATATTTACTACATACTATGAAAGAAGTGCCACATGGAAAAAGTTCTTTGTTGGGCTCCAATATGGGTAAGAAATGCACGCTAGACAGAGCTATTACATATGCTTCACAGAGCTATAAACCATAGGGAAGGAATATGACTGATGCACATGCATAATTCGAATTCTTACCAGATATATTAACACTACACGTCAATAACGGAAAGGTCTTTTCCATCGTTAGCTAAATCTGAAGAAAAAAATTAAAATAATGAGTCGTGCGATAAATATAAGCATATCCATAACACTTATATACAATCTTTTGGTCCCGAATAAACTTCTTTTGATCACTTTTCGTCCAACTTGCTCCTACACATAAGAATGCACGTAATGAGCATAATTCACTATAAAAACTCATGTAACCTCCATAAATCACACAAGTTATGAGATGAAAGTACACCAAAAAATATGCATTTTTTGCTGTTTATCACACCACAACAGTGGCAGCCACCATAAGATTCCTCCATCTACGCTCCAAAACTAAACATACTTTCCCCCATTTCTTCTCTATTCATCAAACCTCGAACCCCCTCATGCCCCAACCACCCCCTCGAACCACCCCACCACCAACAATAAACATAATCTCTACCCACTAAATCCTTCTCGTTTTCCTCCATCGCAACAAAAAACTTTCCATAATAAACATGTCATAATAGTAACGAATCTGGAAGATGAAGGAAATAGAACTGAAGAATTGAATAATTTCATCCATTATCAAGAAATACAATTCTTTTTTCGATTTATATAAAGTGGGTCTAAATGGTAGAAAAAGAAGCAAAAGAATTTTTGTAGCCACTCTTAAAGAAAATTTGTTAATTCTTTATGATTGGGTTTTATAGATTAGTAGATTACATGTTAAGAAGATGAAAAAAGGAGAAAGAGGTTGGGAGAAAACAGAGAGGGAAAATGGGGAGAGGGGGGTATGAGGAAGAAGAAGAGAAGGAGTGTCACGACCCAACCCCGGTCGTGATGGCGCCCAACACACTGCTAGGCAAGCCCGACCATTTAGACAACCTTAACCGATTAATCACAGTGGATAAGTAAATTTTTACAACTAAAATACCAAGTTAAATACGGAAATCCTAAAATAAATTCTAACATTCGGAAAGCCCAAAATATAAAATACTACTCAGCCCATAGAATCTGGTGTCACAAGTCTGAGCCTCTAATGCATGAGTATTGATCTACTACATATTGTTCTCTAGAAATGCGAAAACAAATAAATAAGATAGAAGGAAGATCAGGACTGCGAACGTCAATTTGCAGCTACCTTGAATCTCCCGAATGTGATGCTAGGCAGAGAAAGATCTCACTCAGCCTCAGTGGGTGCGCCTGAATCTGCACACAAGGTGCAGGGAGTAATGTGAGTACTTCCAACCCAGAAAGTAATAAACATAAATACAGTATGAGAATAAGAAATCCTAAATAGGCACAAAGTAAAGCTATAAATACAGCAATATAAACCAATAGCATAATACAGTAAAACAGTGAAGACAATTATAATAATATCACAACAGATTAAGAATAAATGACAATTAAATAAGCAATGCAACACATAAACCGGTACTCTCCAGTACCCGCTGCAGCGTGCAGCCTGCTCCATTTATTTATCGTCGACGGCGCTCACTGGGGGTGTGCAGACTCCGGGAGGGGCCCCTTACGGCCCAAGCGCAATAATAAGCCATATCGTGGCATCAAACAGGCCCTCGGCCTCATATCAATATCTATATCATACCGCTGCGGCGTGCAGCCCGATCCCATACTCAGTCCAAAATCACATAAGCCTCTCGGCACAATGGTATAAAAATATTCAGCCCAAACTTCATTTAAAAATATTAATTTAGTTTCTACTTTGAGAAAAATGGCTGAGTTTACAAAACAGTATTAAATGCCAGGACTGAGTTCAAAATATCTATAAGTATGGTAAGAAGCCAGTAAAAACAATCCCTGAAGGATTCAAGTAGTTGGCACGAAGCCCAATTATGATAATTAATCCATTTTTATAAGGATATTACAAATCTACAATCAATTAGGTAGCAATTTTATTAAACGGGACGGACCAAGTCACAATCCCCGACGGTGCTCTACCCCATGCCCGTTATCCGGTGTGCAAGTCACCTCACATAGCACTACGTTGTGCAAATTCGGGGTTTCGAGCCCTCAACACAACATTTACATTTATTACTAACCTCAAGCCGGCCAAAGTCCTAGCTTGCTATGCCTTTGCCTTTCGAATTAACCTCCTCGTATACCGAATCTGATCAAAACCGCAACGAATACGTCACAATGTGCTAATGGGACAATACCCAATCGAAAACAATCGAAAAATAGTAAGATTTCCGAAATTAGCAAAAACCCGAGCCCCGGGCCCACTTCTCGAAAGTCAGAAAATTTACCATCAACGGATTCCTTATCTCGCCACGAGTCTATACATATAAAGAACACAAAAATCGGAGTCCAAATGACCCCTCAATTCCCATTTTTGCTCTATTAGGTTTCAAGCCCTAAATCACCATTTTTGACCTTTAATTCCTTGAGTTTTCAGTCTAATTTCATGTGTTTGCACCATATAATCGTGTTTTAGGCTTAGAAATTCTTACCTCAATGAAGTCCCTTGATTTCTCTCCTCCAACTCGCCCAAATTCTCCAAGTCCGAAGTGAAAATATGAAACCCTTTCAAAAATTCGCGAAGGGAAATAAAACCATTTCTGACCAGTTATTTCCGCATCTGCGGCTGCTTAGCCGCATCTGCGACTTTTGCTTTTGCGGTTACGAGTCGCTTCTGCGGACAAAACCGCTTCTGCGATGACTAGACTGCTTCTGCGGTCCTGCATCTGCGATTCCTTTTACGCAGATGCGGTTTTTCCTTTAGCCTTCCAAAATTCCGCATTTGCGGTCCTATTGTCGCATTTGCGACTCCGCAGATGCGGTCGGCATCTCCGCACCTGCGATGCCTGTCGCTTCTGCGGTTCCTGAATCGCTTCTGCGGTCCCATTTCCGCAGAAGCGAAAATACCAGAAGCAGCACAGGTTCTGCAATCTCCTAAGTTCAAAACTTCCCGTTAGCCATCCGAAATCACCCCGAGGTCCGCGGGACCTCAACCAAAAGCACCAGCACCTCCTATAACATCATCACGACTTGTTCCAATCATAAAAACACCTCAAACAACACTAAAACCATCATTTCTCATCGAATTCAAGCCTAAGTTCTTCCAAAACTTCCGAAACACGCATTCGATCAAAAACCTATCCAAATCACCTCCGAATGACCTGAAATTTTGCACACACATACCAAATCACATAACGAAGCTATAGCAACTCTCGGAATTCCATTCCGACCCTCGGATCAAAATCTCACTTATCGACCGGAATTCGCCAAAATTCTAACTTTGCCAATTCAAGCCTAATTCTACTCCGGACCTCC